CGCCACAATGCCCAGCTATTTTTTTTGGTTGCAGCTGTCATTGTTGTTTGGCAGGCCCAGGCTGGATTCAAACCCGCCAGCTCAGGTATATGTGGCTGGTGCATTAGCCCTTGAGCCACAGGCACCGAGCCTAAGTAATGCTTTCTAATACAGTCAGCCATCTTTGAGGTTATGGTAAATGGACCTTAGTTCCGTGTTTTACAGCCCCATCTTTCAGTTTTGTTGCAGATTCTTTTAATTACCAAAGATAATAAGACTTCATATATGTCACAACAGGAAGCATAAATGTCTAAATCAGAAAAGTATGAAATGGCACTGTTGGGGTTCAGAAAATCAGAGCTTAAATGGGGCTCTAAGAAGCAGCCTCAGAAACAAAGTATCTTTCTGACCCTCTCCTGCCCTCCTGTCTCTCCCTTCTCATTCTCCCCCAAGGCAGCCACAGAAGCTGGAATCCCTTTCCTAAAGCTGGTCTTAGAAACTAGAACCCTTTTTTATAAAGCCAGTCATAAATTCTAAAAATATTATTCTAACCTTTCATTCTGCCTTTCTGTGTTACAGCTGGCCATAAAGAAATTAAGACCCTCATTCTAGAGGGGTCCTGCCCCATCCCCAGGAGGAAAGGGCTGCACAGAGAAATCAGGAAAAATCTCAACAGACAGACCTCAGTTAACATTAGATCGTCCCCTTTTTGTCCAATCATGTTTCCCTACTCCACTGAGCATAAAAATGGATCATTTTTCTGAATCTTTGGATCTTCATTCTGAAGGCTCCAATGTCACATAAAGTTATCATCAAATATATTTGTTATGCTTTTCTCTTTTAACTAGTCTTTATTATGGGAGTGTTGGCTGTGTTCACCCCCTTTCCTCCCCTGCAGTTCTCTGCTACAACACATCAGGTTTGTTTTAGTGCATTAAAACCCATGTTAACAAGAAACTGTGACAGTGATTGTCCCTAAGAAAGAACCCTAGTAGTTGGGGTGCTCAGAGTAGGAAGGAAAATGATACTTAATTTTCACTGTATATTCTTTTTAAATGTCTGAATAGGTAAATACTTACTATCAACAAACTGAAGTAAATAATCTAAAGTAATAAGACTTGATGGAATGAGGGGTTATCTTGACATTACCATGTTCCAAAAATGTTCTGAGCCAGGAGGGAGAACTAAGCATGGATAATTCCGGGAGACACGGTTCTTTTGTAACTGCCAGTTTGGATGTGAACAATCTCTTATTTTCCAAATAGATTATATAAACAGCTTGGAGGAAGGCTATAACCAGAAGTCAGAATGGTTCAGTTTCTCCCTGGAAAATAAGATTTTTCTTCCATAGAATTCTAACGAGGGAAATTATATGATCTTTTTGTTATTGCTGGGAAAAATCAGCAATGCCTCCTGTAAGTTTTTGTACCATTTTTTAATGTCTAAAGATGTTTTTCATGTGTGTTTGCCACCTACAGTCATCATGACTTCTTTCAAAGACTGTGATGAGAGTATTTGCTTATAAGCCACAGGTATAAACAACCTACCCATAAAATCAGTGAGACGCCTTCCCTTTCGTTTTTCCCCCAGTTACCACCAAAAACCTAGTTATTACTGCCTTGAGAATCATTTTTGAAAAAATAAGAAAAATAAACTTAGTGCCTTTAGAAAACTCGGGTTCAGAGAAGGGAGTAAGAAAAAAAGGCAACAGATTAGAGGCTGCCTTTTAATGTTGCACACGCCCAAGAGTGCCTTTGTAGAAGGATTTCTGGTTTAAATCTCTGCTTTGGGCTTGGTGCCTGTGGCTCGAGTGGCTAAGGCGCCAGCCACATACACCTAAGGTGGTGGGTTTGAATCCAGCCCGGGCCACCAAACAACAATGATGGCTGCAACCAAAAAAAATAGCCAGGCATTGTGGCAGGTGCCTGTGGTCCCAGCTACTTGGGAGG